CGATGCAACGCGCGTGCACGTCGGCCCTCGAGCCGCGCTCGCCGCGGGGGCGTTGTGTTGCTCACCCTGAAGCGCCGCCTTTTTTGCTTACGATGCGAAGTCACTTGAGAGCCTCGGCGAATGCGTGAGCTTGTACTTTGCGATAGACCTAACCGGGAGAGGTGGCTCAGGGCGTCAACAGTCACTGCAGTAAACGGGGAGGTCCTTGGTTCGAGTCCCGACTGTGCGGCTGCTCTATTCTCAACACCCGCTTTTCAGCTAGGTCGAATTCAGCCGCTGTCTGGACAGGAATTCTAGTGATAGAGTGCTCCCATAGGTAGTTTCGCTTGCTTTCTCCGATGATCAGCAGCAGGCGAATGTCGGAGCAATACGCTATCAAACGGACCACGCGCGATCTTTCCTACCTCTTCCTTGTCATAACCTGACTTCTTACTTACACGCTCCTATACACTACACTATCACACTTGTCTGGGGCTTAGAGTTAATCGCAGCTGGGTAGTGCTGCGTTGGTGGGAGATACCTGGTTGGGGACACCCAGTTATTCGACTGTAGGTTGGCGCCGGATCTCGCCATCCAGAGGGGAAGATCACCGTCACCACCCGCGATAATATATGCACTACACTTACGAGACGACCTTAGCAGATTACGTTCACATAATCGCTAATCAGTAAAATACGATAGTTATAGCGGAGAACTATCTAATATACTCACGTGGCTTTGTCGTTTACTATATTAGGCACGTGATCAAGATATGAAGTTGGAATTTTTCATTGACTGTTGTCTGTTGCAAAGTGTGCTACTAACGTAATATTCCCATGTTTGAGAGCAGATCTAGTTGAATAAATGCGAATCGAGATGTGGCATTCTGGAAATTTAGCATAGCACTTGTCGGGGAAAGAAGATTGAAATGTGTGGAGAACAGTCACACTTTGTACTAAACCGTTTGAGATGATTTTTGTTGTTCTTGTGAACTTTTCGAGAGTGTAACAGACAGGTGTGATTACAAATGCCATGCTCCATAATTGCCTGGGAGTTAAGTCATGTCGCAGCAACCATGGCTCGGGAATTGAGTTTCAAGCATGGTTCTCGGTGCTCGGGCCGCCATTTTCATCACGAACTTCGCGAAGGATATTGAGAGGCTTTCTCATAATGTTTTCATCATTACGTTCCCTTTAAGGAGATTTTGTAGAAATGTGTTGTATTAAGACCGTTCACAAGCCGGAGCAATATTTATAAGTCTACAAGTGCAAGACAATGTTTATTGCTCCAAACCACTGCAAATAACAATATTATCTTGATCTTCATACTTGTATAAACCTGGTAATTTTCCTCTCAAATGTAAATATTTCTTTGTAGCAAGTTCTTTCGTTTGCTGGCAGTTCACGTACGTCGCTTGTTTCCTCTGTACCTTCTCCTGTCGGTAGCTAAACTCGTTTCAGGTCTGTCTATTCCCTTCTGTCCTCCGCTGTCGATTTGGTTACATTATGCGCCTAGTCCTAACGCCTGTTCGATTTTGAAGCAACTCTTCCCCTCAAAAATGGAACAACGCGCCCCAGGGAAGTGTTTTTTCGGTAATCACTTTTCGCTTTGGCTATGTGTTCAGAATGAACACCAAATTCAATAAAAATGTTTATCCTTTAGGCTCTACCGGCACTTACTATTGGTTATTACAAGGGATCGGAATGTTTTGTAATAAAAATGAAAAATATGTTTATGTGTATATTTTTATTTTTTCTTAAAAAGTGTGAGAAAAATAAGAAATATGTAAAATTTATAAAAATGTTATACACAAGTATTTTCCGATCACAGAGTCGTCGATCAACTCTTACTGTGGATCTGAAGCGGCTGAGATATAGCTCTAGCTCTACAGAAGGTATTGATCACTAGTTTTTGCCTCACAGAAAAGTTTTATTCGAAATATAAAATACGCTGGTTGAATAAATTTTGTTATTTACGAGGAGTCGCTGCTCAAGTGAATAGTAGCAGTACCGTGTTGGCACAGACGGAGCCTGGAAGGGAGGTTAAAGGGAACACAATCTCCCTAAAAAAAAATCCAGCAATGCGATAAGATAATAACAGTAAAAAATTGTATTTGTTACATTTCGATCGTGTTACTCTTAGGCTCCATGAAACATTAGCAAGAATAAAGGAGGTTGAAATTATTTCTGCTTCATATTTGCACATCTTTGATTCCGAGAATTCGGTTTCCAAGTAAAAAAAGTGTATAAAATAAAAATGGTTATATTTGATTCAGAATGCTTTGTAAACTCGAAAATATATTATTGAATGTAGATATCTTGAAAATGGTTATTTCCGTCAGGTTCAATGATGTCATTGTTAAACTTTAATTGTTGCTAAAAATGTGGCCCATAATTCGTCAGCGTGTTTACTTTGCTAATATGTAAATAACTTTCGTATTTTACCTTGCTTGTGAAGTACAAATAATATGCCGTTATTAATCGAAGTATGTATTACAGAACTCTCGTGATTGACAGATTTCTTCTAACAGACGTTGCTAGGATGATAAAATACGAAAAATAGCATAATTTGTATCCTCTTACCGACTAAGTTGAAGCACACGAATTATGGAAAATTGAAAATTGATTTACATTATGTACAAATATGCGTTTTCATTAAACATTATAATGTGCGTGGATTCAATGAACTACATGTTTAATTCGATAAAGGGGATCTCAGTGCCCTTTGTCTTTTGCAGTGAATGTCGCAATGGTTGTAGCAGGCGGATTAGCAAACAGCGTATGTTCTGATGCAGTGTGCGCTCCTTTTGTGCGAGTCTGCCGGCTGGTCCGCTTGGGTTGTTGACACTGTCAGCGTTGCGAAGTCCCCTTTCACGCAAAGTTCATCAATTCCATGCGAATGATCACAGTTGGTGGATCGGCAACTGGCGTTGTGAATCTTCAGCTTAGGGGGCCGGATTGGATCGCTTACAGCGAAACTATGCAACTGCAAGCCTCGGAGGAGGGTTTCGGAGTGCGTGCTTTGGGAAGTGTAGTCTTCGCAATTGCTCCGTGCTGGTGATTACGGCCAGGGGCGATTCTACTTACGGGCAAATTAGGGTATGGCATAGAGCGTGGAAATGGCGCACCGGCTGCGATATCTCAGCTGGAACATCGTTGTACGTCAGGTCCCAGGAATCCAGTTTCGACGGTAGTGGGTTTTCGACACTAGCTAACTACATAGCTGAGTTATCTTCACCCACTAGAGGAGAATTTTAGCGGCCGACTGCTCTGATATTTTTCTGCGACTCTGTGCCTGTATTTGCTTATATAAATTACATTGCGAGGGAATTAGGAGCTTTTCTGTGCATACATGCACTTTATCCTATCCGACCATTGTTCGACAATAACTGTCCACCAAGACCTCAGCTCACCTAACGTGCCACCCATTAAGTACTTGATGCCTGTATCCCAATTCACCAAACGTTACTTGCCTATACATTTGGCGTCTTTAACACCTCCCGTAATCATTTGAATAATGATATTTCCACTCTGGCAACGCCGTCCTAGCTTCATCAGACCTGATTGTGTAAACAACGTTATAGTCTCTAGGTATTTCTTTCTTATCTTCTAATTTTAATTATTATTTTCGCTTTACCACCTAAGACATATTAGACAGAAGCACTGGTACGTGTAGTTTCTCACAATTCGTTAAGATAACTATTTGAAAAGCGTGAAAACATAAAATAACGTTTCAATAATGTTTCAATATTATTATTATTTGGACAATGCATTTAACTTTAAGTTTAGTGATATTTAATATATTTCTCGATACCATCTACCTCATTTATAGTGGAATTACCTGCGACATTTATACGCAATTTGACCTTCCCTTCAACATTAACTCCAGATCGCATCGTGGCAATTTAGCATTTTTCATAATAGTAACACCAATCCGGCCTAGGCTGTATCAAGCACTCTACACCTGAACGAACTACCTCGCCCACGGGGAGCACCGCTGCTTTTCTCCATTCGCGGCATAAGCCTCCGATTAAAAGCAGCTCCGCTGTATTCCTGCGGCGAGCGCTGAATGGAGAATGGTCATCCACCGCTGTCACCCATCAGACCCCAACGTCACCAGCAGACGCGCCGGACAATGCACGCCAGACCCGGCGACCTCCGGGGGCGGGGGCGGGGCCGGGGCGGCGCTTGCGTCAGCGCCCCGCCCGCCCACGCACACCTGTCCACGCGGCCGCCGCCGCCGCCGCCTCCTGCGTCACTCCGCCGACGAACGATGCGGTGAAGAGAGATTTTGACGCTTTATTGTGATGCGAAGCGGAACAAATGTCGGGAGGCAGGCTGCCTGAAAGGTGTGGGACGTGTTGGGAGGGAGGCCGCCTGAATGGCGGGACGTGGTGGGAGGGAGGCCGCCTGAATGGCGGGACGTGTGGGGAGGGAGGCCGCCTGAATAGAGGAACGTGTGGAGAGGGAGGCCGCCTGTATATATTGTCATTGATTTCAATTTTTAAGAACATTATGTACTTTTCAATATAATAGTATTGGCATTACAATAAGTGCTGTACTGTTATGAATATCAGTAACATAATGATGGGTCCACTATTATTCTCCATTAACGTACTTATTAATTGCAGTGAGGAAAAGCTTTCATGACCATTTACAAAGTACAGAATTCCGTTCTGTTTCTGGGCCCTTTTACCCAGACGGCCTTTTGTTTAGGAGCTGTCGTTCGATTTACGACTTATTCATTTCAAAATATTTGATTGTTGGTATTGGAAAAACTTTGTCAACGTAGCTGCTCCCTGGCAAAGCAAAGCTGCCAGTTTAAGCAGCTGTCATCTGTGTTGATGGGGGAGAGAGGAAAAATTTTTTTTTTTATTCTCTGAAACCGGTTGAGAAACCCGTGTAAAAACTTTGCGTTTTATGTCTACGTTTGGCTACTGTTTCATTTCTGTTGTTCCCCCAAATGTTTGTTTTTTGTCGTGCATCTCACGTCACTGTTCTTTTTTCCTCAACCATTCTGACCCACGCACATGTAAACTAAAATTTTGTCACGTGTGGCTTTTAGACAGGTGTTTGGCAAACGATCATTTTGCATGTCGGAAAGAAATTACGATCTTTGTTTGCCCTAATACAAGAACTTGGATCTTTCAAAATTGTATTTTTAATAATTCTTTGTTTCGATTTCTTTCTTCAAATTAGAATAATTGCTTAACATACATTCCTTTAAAAAAATATTACTTGTCTTTTTTTTTTTTTTTGCCATAAAGATATTTTTGCAAACTGCATGATGTGCCTGTCATTTTCTCTAGAATGGATGCAGTGGGTGTACTGTTAACGCTGTTTTCATCTGCAAACTTTCCAACTCGTAAGGGCGTGAAATAACGAACCAATACAACTCCCCCATTGAGACATCGCAAGTCACAACTCAAGTGCATCGATGCGTGGCGGCGTCATAAAGGTTGAGAAACAAGGCAGGAAGCCTTCGATTTTTATACTCCAGTCGGTACCCCGCGCTATTCGGGAGATAGCAACTTGGCAAAGTAAGTGGGCTGACATGCGGTTTTAGTACTTCTATTGCTTCGTTGATATGAATGTCATTTGATACGTTTTTGTTAAATGTTGTCAAGATGTGCGTTGTCTTACGCGCCCAAATTGTTTGTAATTGTTGATATTCTGGTTGCTGCAACGTAAAGAGATTTCATCGGGAAATCGGTATGTATTCCCCTTCCTTGAGAATATTGAGGTTAAAGGAAAACTCCTGTGTAATTTTATATTATACATTTACTAACACGCAATATTAGTAAACAATTTTTCTTCACACGTCATCATATGGGGCATAACCCCATATTTTTTCTCCTCAGTGTTAATCATGGACACCGCGTCGAATTGCTGACTGTGCATCCAAAGTATAACTAAAAATAATTCACCAATGCCATTGTTGGCTTGCGGCTACACAAAATCAAACTGGGGAAATCAGCACTTCAATTGTACGCCGCAGAAATATTAAAGAACTTATTCTCTGATATTTTAATGAAACATTTTAGCTACGAAACTTTAGTAATGTGTTATGAATAAAGATAAGAACTGTAGGGGGACTGTTCTTTATCGTATCTCTTAAGTCCTAGTTACACACATCTCTAACAAGTATTAGTTTACCCACTGAAATACGCGAATTTTGCTTAATTACATAAGGTTTTGTGTTCAGTTTGATTGTTCCGTCGCTGTGTACCGTGGTTATAAACTTACAGCAAAAATTCAAATTTTAAGCAGAGTTAAATAGATTAAATGAATAGTACAGCATAAGACTTGATTCTGTTATGGAACTGGAGCGATGTTTGCCTCCCTCGACAGTTTACCGAAAACGCACCAGGAGACGTCGCTATGCCCAGCTCCGTCAGACGATGGTTAAAATGTGCTGTGACGCGGGCAGCCGTTTCGGATTTTCGCAGCCCGGAAGTAACATTTAACAAAATGTCCTTAAAGACCAAAAAATGATTTTCTGATAAAACTTGGATCTGCATTCTTCCTATATGTCAACACAGAATCTGTGTTTTTTTTTCTTTTCTTTTCTAACGGTAACTTCTAAAACGTATAAACCCCGCTATTTGAAACAAACCTTGAAATCGTGTACAATAGTTTCCTTTAAAAAAAGCAATTTGAAGTGTGAAAGCAATTCCAGAAAGGCGGGAAATGAAGTGGAAGTGCTTGAAATGTGGGGCAATGCAATGGAGTGCTGAGTACTACTCCACGGTAAGTGCGACAGCATAGTTCTGTTCTGTGTACTTTAATTAGATGTTTGCTGCTATTATCAATTTTATTATTATTTAATAATAATAATAATAATAATAATAATAATAATAATAATATTTATTACATGTCCTGATAATGCTCAGTTTTATTTTCAAAATCAGTACCGGCCCAGTAGAGATTGCATTAAACTACATATTGCCAAATCCACAGTTCATGAAGTCCTAATGCGGACATCGGCATCCAAGGCTTCTCTCTGACCTGTGTGAGTCCCAATGTAACTGTGTGTGGTGTTTGTTGCAGGTCCCGCGCGCAACACTGTGTACGTGGTGTTGCACGCTGCTGGCGTGAAGCGCCCCACTCGCGCCCGCCACCACCACACCAGCACACCGCTCAACGGCAAGGACGCGTCTCCGGCGGGCCCATGACGACGACGCGCCCCTAGTGAGTACACCCACCCCCTCCCAAATAATCTCACGGGTTCCTAACTCTTTGTAAGAAGTTTGGTGGCCTCTTTGTGAACGAATGGAAAATGGAAATAATCGGGGAATTTCATTGCTCGCAAAGGGTCAGGGAACATTTTCAGAAATAGTTTTAAATCGAACGACAGTCCCAGTAAGTCATAAGTTCCCTCCGCAAAGGATTCTCTGAGAAAAGCGCATGGGTTTTCCCTTGTTTTCAAGAAAGTGTCTACCATGTTTTGTAGAACACGGTAAGCACTTTTCTGGGAAGCGGGAAATTGGGGAATGCAAAGCTGTGGGAAGTCAGAAAAAATCAGGAAATTTGTGGAAGAATCGTTAAAACTCAGGGAAAGTTTGTTCCAAATTTGGTTTTAAACTAGATATTATTCCTAAAAAAATAGTAATGCATTATTTTTTGGTTTGAATTTCTATTTTATTGATAAATTTTTTACTTTTGGTCCTTTATCATGGTATAATAAGGAGCTAACAGATTAAGTTTGAAGCTTACTTTAATATTTTCTTTAAGTAGTGTGAAATACTGCTACAGTATTACAAGTGATACAATCTTTAAAGTGCTCCTTGGCAACCGGGTAGAGTCAGGAAAATTGGTTCAGGAATAAGCTAGTCGTAACTTGTGAAGAAACTGTCCACACAAAAAATTACCCCGCGTTGGCAACCAAACTCAAGACGAAAAAAGAGTGGAAGTTTGCCGATAGATGTAAAGAAAACAGCAATGTTAACGTGCACACACAACAGAGGTTTGTCGTCCGCAACTCGGGACGGCCATTAAAAGCTGATTTTTGTTTCGAGGAAACGCGATTTTACGATTCTTAGACCGTAATCTACGAGATGATGCGTTTTTGGTCTCATACTAACTTTGTTTGAGGTTACTCCTAACCCCGAAGCACCTTTACTGTCAGAAACAGTGAAAGCTATGTTTCCATTTCCAGCAATAAATTATTTTAAAACATTATGATTTTAAAAGTGAGAAATGTGTCTTTTCGGATACACAAATACCGCACTAATTTATAAAGTTTCATCCGGCATATGTTTTTTTTTTTCTGGTTTACAACACAAATACGAGTAGCAAGCGAGTAGAATTTCAATTCTCGAAGATTGTCCCCAGCAGTACTGCAGGATGTTTGGTGATATTTTTTTGCTGAAGACAATGTTTTGTGAACTGGGTTCTAGGAATTCATTGGGTTTTAAATGAATGTTAAGTAAAGTAAGCAGGGAATTTCTACTTCTGTAAGGAGTGTTTCACCCAGTATTTAAATACCAATAAAAATGAGAATTCCATGTACTTTTTAAGTATGTCTTAAAAAGTGTTACTGTTGGAGATCATGTGTGGGGTCGTGGTTCCCGTTGTGTTTGATGACGAGTCTATGTAATATTATATTCAATCACCGAATCTCTTGGCCATAATTCCTGAAAAGTTTAGGAGTTTCGTAATGACTTCCCCGTCGTATTGCAACTCTTTGATTCTGAAGTGGGCAGTCATCGAAAACAATTGTTTCAAACCAAACGTTATGTTCACTAATCGTATTTTTATAACACTGACTATTGCATATATTTTAAAATTTCAATTAGTGCTTCATAACGTTTTAAACTTTATATCTGTATATTCCTAATTTCCGAGTATTAAAATTATTTGATGCAATGAACATTTTTGCCTCAGATCTAATTGTAATTTTGCGTGCGTGTCTTCTAGTACATTTATCTT